AGCCCGAGGGACGCGCGCGCGAGGGCCCCTTTGTGGACTTTACGGCCGCCAACATCTGGGCGCATCGCGGGCCACCGCTGGCAGCTGCGCCGCCGCCTCGCCTTGGGGACCGTAGGAGGCGCAGCCCCAAGGCCGGAGACTTCGGTTTTGGACCAGGTAGGAAGGACGGGGCGCGACGCGGAGGGGGGTGGCCCTCGCTAGTCCCGGGAGCTTTTCCCGGTTTCTCCTCCCCTTCCCGGGTCATTCCCGGCAGGGAGGGGACGAGGTAGGAGACAGAGCGGATGGAAGCCGGAGGTCCCAATTTCCCGGAATACCCAGGCCGGGGCCCCCTCCGGCTTCTCGCGTCCCCTCCCTACCCCCGTGCCTCGGATTTCTCTCCGTCCCCGCCGCCCGGGGCCGTCGGACTGAGCGGCGCCCCGAGCGTCCCGGCGCCCTTCTCTGCCCTCCACCCCGGCCACGCTCCCGGAGCCCCAACTTCCGCGCCTGAGTTTCCCACTCGGCGCCCTGCCAGTGCGCGCTGGGGAAGGGGCCACCCCGCCAGCGGGGGCGAGGGCCGGGCGGGCTCCACGGGCTGCCTGGGTCGGGGCGAGGGCCCACGCGAGGACCTCCGGGGCAGTGGGTGCCCCGGCCACTTGGCGGAGGCAGGGGAGCCGGGGCGGGCCAGGCGCGCTGGAGGGTTCCGGGCACTCACGCGGCTCGCGCCTTCCTCCCCACAGCCCCCCGGGATGCGGTAGCGGCCGCTGTGCGGAGGCCGCCGAGCAGCTGCAGCCGCCGCCGCGCAGATCCACGCTGGCTCCGTGCGCCATGGTCACCCACAGCAAGTTTCCCGCCGCCGGGATGAGCCGCCCCCTGGACACCAGCCTGCGCCTCAAGACCTTCAGCTCCAAGAGCGAGTACCAGCTGGTGGTGAACGCAGTGCGCAAGCTGCAGGAGAGCGGCTTCTACTGGAGCGCGGTGACGGGCGGCGAGGCGAACCTGCTGCTCAGCGCCGAGCCCGCCGGCACCTTCCTCATCCGCGACAGCTCGGACCAGCGCCACTTCTTCACGCTCAGCGTCAAGACCCAGTCGGGGACCAAGAACCTGCGCATCCAGTGCGAGGGGGGCAGCTTCTCGCTGCAGAGCGACCCCCGGAGCACGCAGCCTGTGCCGCGCTTCGACTGCGTGCTCAAGCTGGTGCATCACTACATGCCGCCCCCCAGCGCGCCCTCCTTCCCGTCGCCACCGAGTGAACCCTCCTCGCCCTCCGCCGAGGTGCCAGAACAGACGCCCGCCCAGCCGCTGCCGGGGACGCCCCCCAGGAGAGCCTATTACATCTACTCGGGGGGCGAGAAGATCCCTCTGGTGTTGAGCAGGCCCCTCTCCTCCAACGTGGCCACTCTCCAGCATCTCTGTCGGAAGACCGTCAACGGCCACCTGGACTCCTATGAGAAAGTCACCCAGCTGCCTGGGCCCATTCGGGAGTTCCTGGACCAGTACGATGCCCCACTTTAAAGAGCAAAGGGCAGGGGTCAGGGCGAGGGGCCTGGGTCCCCTCTCCTTCGTGACACATGGCACAAGCACAAGAATCCAGCGGGAGAGTCCTGCAGTTCTGGGTGAGCCAGGGGGTGGACAGGCCCCTCCCTCTGACCCTCCCCTCTGCAGAAGGGGGCAGGCCAGACCTGGAATGTGTTTGAGGGAAGGGGGAGTGCCACCTGAGCGCCCCTCCCCCACTCCGGCTGCTCCGGAGGAGCCAGATGGCCCAGTGGGGCGACTGCAATGGATTCTCCTCCTCTCCGCTTCCTCGACTCCCCCTGCACCTCCAGACAGGGGACACTGCTGAACTAGTGAGAAGTGCCGGGGAATCTGCAAACTTTCCAACGGAACTTGTTTGCTCTTTGATTTGGTTTTAAACGTGGCTCTAACCCTGAGCAAGTCTCTGGCCTGGGAAAGGGTGGACAAGAGAGAGGGTGCCTCAGGGGCCCCCCACCCCGGGCTGCAGGCTGCCCAAGGACATGGCAACTCCCACCGCCCAGCCCAGGTGAGGAGGGTGGCTGCGTGCTCCTCCCCGGGCTCTGGAGAGAAGGCCAAGGGGTGACCTGAAGAGGACCATTCTACTCCTCCTCCTTGGGACAACCACCAGGAAATATAGGTCCTAGTCCGTGGAGAGCTGAGGGCCCTTCCCCCGTTTTAAGGGGGAAGTGGCATTTGGAGGCGGGTGGACAGGCCGGTCAGTTCTTTCCCCACCCATGCTATACCTTCCAGCACCTGGGGGTGGGTGTGGTTGGAGGAGATGAGCCATCTTTGACCCCAGACCCTGGCCAGAGAAGATGGGGGATTCTACTTTGTGCCTCCTGACTATGTCTGGCTAGATTTGCCTTAAATGCTCCCTGTCCCATGGAGAGGGACTGGCACACAAGAAGCCACACACTCAGCCAATCCATGCAGAGGCCAAGGGATTCTCAAAGGGCAGGCAGCTGGCCACTGACCTTGGCGGGAGGGGGGGGGCAGCAGAGATGGTATTGGCCAGCCACAGGTGCCTCATGGTGTCTGGGTTCTGGCTAGAGCAGAGCCAGCAGGTCCCACAGGCCCCAACCCCAGGCCCTGCACAGCCCTCCCTCCTCACCTGGGGTGGGGGGACACAGGCAAGGAGTCACCAAGAGACCAGGGCCCCTGCCACCCCAGCTGCTCCCTCTCTGCAATAGCACTGATCAGTGAAAACTTACAGGAATGTAGCAGCGATGGAATTACCTGGAACTGTTCTTTTGGGGGAAAAACTAATCACAAAGTTTTCTGTGTCAGGTATTGGTCTGGATGGGGCAGCTGTGTGTTGGGGTGTTTTTTTTTTTTCTGTTATTTTTGTTTCTGTTTTGTTTTTTAATAATGTTTACAATCTGCCTCAATCACTCTGTCTTTTATAAAGATTCCACCTCCAGCCCTCTCCCCTCCCCCAACCCAGGCCTTCAAGGCTGTTAGGAGATGCTTGAAGAACTCAACAAAATACCAATCCAAGTCAAACTTTGCACATATTTATATTTATATTCAAAAAAGAAACATTTCAGTAATTTATAATAAAGAGCACTATTTTTTAATGAAAAACATGACTTGAGCCTTTTTCCCCTGCCCCTTCTCTGCCTTGCTTTCTCTTTCACCCACACCCACACACCCTGCACCCGAGGGGAGGTGGGAGGGAGCCGCAGAGGGTGGCGCCGGCTCTGCCCCCTTGCTGCCCTGGCGTCCTCAAACCCTTCTTCACGTCACTTACAAGCTCCGGCAGCCACCTAGACTGTACCGAGGGTAATTCCTGCTAGTCTGATTCAGATCTGACCAGAATATGCAAAGCAAGTTCGAAGGAAGCGCTTCAAAGGGCTTGCAGGGACTAAGCTGAGCTGTGGCCAAAGCTTTTAGAGGCTCCAAGCTATTAGAAGCGCTTGGCTCCTTGGCAGGGAGGTGTTCCGAGAAAGCCCAGACTACAGGGTCCCGGCGGTGGCCCGTGACCTCAGCATAGCCCGGTTCACGGAGGTGGGGGGGAGGGGTGGTCCTGATGAGGCTCCCCTCCCACTTCCCAGGAGCCCCCGCCTGAGCAGTGGTTGGGGCCACGGGCCTCCCAAGAAGAGCACCCATCTATTTATCTATTTTAGTCACTCTCACTCCACCCCGCCCCCGCATTTGGAGGCTCCCTGGGTTAACCTTCCCAGCTGCCCCCGCAAGGCAGATGTTATCACCCCCCCATATTCTCAGACACAACTGTGTGCTCCATAGGAGCAGGAACTTGGACTGGTCACTTCTGATGCCTAGAATGGTGCTCAGTAAATATTTGTGGACTCAGTGGGGGCAGCCACTCAGGTTCACAGAGGTTAAGCAACCTGCCCAAGGACACACCACTTGGGATGTGGGAAAGACACAGGATTGACCCCAGGAGTGTTTATTCCCAAAGCCCATGGACTCTCCCTCTCTGAACACTAAGTATGTACCCGGGGTTGCCCACAGGTGGGAACCCTTGCAAAGCCAAGAGGTTAGTACCGTCCTTCCCCCAGTGCTGTGGGTTTCAGCGTTAGGGTTCTGACAAAAAAAAAAAGAAAAGAAAAGAAAAAAAACCTTCTCTGTGACATTTTCTGTCCATGTTTCCTCCTCCCCCAACCCTGAGACCTGATGGCTTGGAAAGATGAGTGTTACCCCCATCCCTGCGCTTCAGATGCCAGGCCCCCCAAAGAGCTGCTCCGGGAATCAGTGTCCAAAAGGCAACTGAGCGAGTAAATAAACAAAGTCATTTTTCTTTCCCATTTCCTGATCTTTTGAGGAAAATAACCTAAAGTGACGAGAAAGGGCCAGGCCAGGGGCGAAACTGTCGAGAGAGACAGAGCATGCAGGAACCACGCTAGACGGACCGCCACCTCTAGAGCTGGGAACGCAGACCCAGATGAGGTCGCCTTCCCAGAGCACAAGGTCAGGTGAGGAAACCCAGTGGGACCTGGCTCCCCAGTGCCTTCCAGAAGGATGAGAGTCTGGGAACCTTCTGGCAGACTCTTCCCTACCCGATGACCTGCCAGTCAGCCACCATCTGCCTTCTAAGGCGATTGGCATCTGGAGCACACCGAGTCCCCGCGCAGCCCAGAAGGCAGCTGTTTAGCCAGTGTCCAGTGTTCACAGGGCGCTAACAAAAGGGCTTGGCCTTCGCTGGCCCCAGAGGAAGCTGGCCTCCCAGACCCCTGGTTGACTGCAGAGGCAGGATGGCGCCTCTTTTCCCTGGATGCCCAGGCCAGCCTTCTTTCCCCACCTTTCTCTGTCTCCCTCCATTTGCAGACCACAGACTGGACCAACCCTCTGGTTTAGCAGACAAGGAGACTGAGTCCCAGAAAAGGAAAGCAATTTGCTCAGGTTCACACAGCGAGCGAGTGGCAACGTCAGGGCAAGGACCCCTTCCTAGCTCCTCTGCTCGCCAGGGCTCCTTCCTGTTTTCCCTCCTCCTCCCACCTTCCCGTTGCAGAAATCTTTCTGTACTTCCCAATCCTTCTAGGGGCATACACCCCTCCTCCGAAGGACTTAATGGAGGCCCCTCTGTTCTGGCCACCAGAGGAGGGGTGCACTTGATTCCAAGAGTTGCTAGGAACGTCCAGCAGCACCTGGGGTATAATTCCCTGTGGCTTCCGCAGGCACCCATGTCTCAGTAGCGTTAAAAGAGCACAGCTAGGGGTCCCTGGCCAACGGAAAGCGGGGAGATCGCTGCTCCCGGGGCCTGCTCCGGGCGCCGAAAGAACCCACCCACTCACCCACCCAAGAGCCCCTATCTCCTCTCCAGTGCTGTTTGGGGGCAGGCCTGACGAGTTCGAGACGTGAACGGAGAATCTAAAGCCTGCTCTGGGGCGAGGGCGGGAAGGAGGCCACAGACAGGGGAGCTGGAGATGGAAAATAAGCCCTCACGTCGTGTCCTAGACTAAGGAGTAAGGGTGTTCGGGAGGGGGCACCCTTCTGTCTCTGGCCGTGGTACCAGTCAGAGGGAGGGCTAGAGACAGACAGCCACAGAGGGAGTCTAAGCAGAGACACAAGTCTGCGGGGCGGGGGACAACGTGCACAGGGGCGGACGGAGAAGACCGAGGCCGACGGTGGGAAGAGCTGGGTCCCGGGCGCACCTTCCGCGCCCGCGCGTCCCGCCCCCTCCCGTTCGGGCGCCC